TTAGCAAATTCAGCCCATCACTGGTCAACAAAAAAAAATCGTTACCAAAGATATTTGAAGGCATTTAGGGTATTTTGGGGTTGCTGAATTCGAAAATGACAATAGATTTTTCAAAGTGGCTCTAGTTTGTGAGATATTGCATACTTACCCTAAGTTAACAGGGAACTTAGCCTTAACACATGTATATGTTTACCTGGAGTTTACCTGGAGAGAGTTTCGGGGGTCAACGCCCCCGCGGCCCGGTCTGTGACCAGGCCTCCTGGTGGATCAGAGCCTGATCAACCAGGCTGTTGCTGCTGGCTGCACGCAAACCAACGTACGAGCCACAGCCCGGCTGATCAGGAACCGACTTTAGGTGCTTGTCCAGTGCCAGCTTGACTGCCAGGGGTCTGTTGGTAATCCCCCTTATGTGTGCTGGGAGGCAGTTGAACAGTCTCGGGCCCCTGACACTTATTGTATGGTCTCTTAACGTGCTAGTGACACCCCTGCTTTTCATTGGGGGGATGGTGCATCGTCTGCCAAGTCTTTTGCTTTCGTAGTGAGTGATTTTCGTGTGCAAGTTCGGTACTAGTCCCTCTAGGATTTTCCAGGTGTATATAATCATGTATCTCTCCCTCCTGCGTTCCAGGGAATACAGGTTTAGGAACCTCAAGCACTTCCAGTAATTGAGGTGTTTTATCTCCATTATGCGCGCCGTGAAAGTTCTCTGTACATTTTCTAGGTCGGCAATTTCACCTGCCTTGAAAGGTGCTGTTAGTGTGCAGCAATATTCCAGCCTAGATAGAACAAGTGACCTGAAGAGTGTCATCATGGGCTTGGCCTCCCTAGTTTTGAAGGTTCTCATTATCCATCCTGTCATTTTTCTAGCAGATGCGATTGATACAATGTTATGGTCCTTAAGGTGAGATCCTCCGACATGATCACTCCCAGGTCTTTGACGTTGGTGTTTCGCTCTATTTCGTGGCCAGAATTTGTTTTGTACTCTGATGAAGATTTAATTTCCTTATGTTTACCATATCTGAGTAATTGAAATTTCTCATCGTTGAACTTCATATTGTTTCCTGCAGCCCACTGAAAGATTTGGTTGATGTCCGCCTGGGGGCCTTGCAGTGTCTGCAATGGAAGACACTGTCATGCAGATTCGGGTGTCATCTGCAAAGGAAGACACGGTGCTGTGGCTGACATCCTTGTCTATGTCGGATATGAGGATGAGGAACAAGGTGGGAGCGAGTACTGTGCCTTGTGGAACAGAGCTTTTCACCGTAGCTGCCTCGGACTTTACTCTGTTGACGACTACTCTCTGTGTTCTGTTAGTGAGGAAATTATAGATCCATCGACCGACTTTTCCTGTTATTCCTTTAGCACGCATTTTGTGCGCTATTACGCCATGGTCACACTTGTCGAAGGCTTTTGCAAAGTCTGTAAAATATTACATCTGCATTCTTTTTGGTCTTTCTAGTGCATTTAGGACCTTGTCGTAGTGGTCCAATAGTTGAGACAGACAGGAGCGACCTGTTCTAAACCCATGTTGCCTGGGTTGTGTAACTGATGGGTTTCTAGATGGGTGGTGATCTTGCTTCTTAGGACCCTTTCAAAGATTTTTATGATATGGGATGTTAGTGCTATTGGTCTGTAGTTCTTTGCTGTTGCTTTACTGCCCCCTTTGTGGAGTGGGGCTATGTCTGTTGTTTTTAGTAACTGTGGGACGACCCCCGTGTCCATGCTCCCTCTCCATAGGATGGAAAAGGCTCGTGATAGGGGCTTCTTGCAGTTCTTGATGAACACAGAGTTCCATGAGTCTGGCCCTGGGGCAGAGTGCATGGGCATGTCATTTATCGTCTGTTCGAATTCATTTGGCGTCAGGATAACATCGGATAGGCTTGCGTTAATCAAATTTTGTGGCTCTCTCATAAAAAATTCATTTTGATCTTCGACTCTCAGTCTGGTTAGCGGCTTGCTAAAAACTGAGTCATATTGGGACTTGAGTAGCTCACTCATTTCCTTGCTGTCATCTGTGTAGGACCCATCTTGTTTAAGTAGGGGCCCAATACTGGACGTGTATATACAGAGAGTTTTAATAAAGATTAGAATTTTATTTTTAAACGATTTAATATTTAACGAAAGGCGTTGTATCAACACCGACCAAGTGACAATACTGTAGCCTTTATTTTATTTTTTCCAGATAAACATGAGTTATTCACGAAGAGTCTGCTTAAACAATCCCAAAGCATTTTGCTCATTTGTGGCGAATACTCTTTGCAAAAACAAAAAAAATCACAGATTTTGTAAAACAAGCTTATCTTGCTTATTTTGGAATGGCGCTTGGAGAACAAGACAAGTCTTGGGCTCCACTTTTAGTATGCAAAACTTCAGTGTGCCTATGGTGAGGAGAGAGCCAAAAAACCACCACGACGATTGTTGTTTCTGTATGGTGAACGTGAAAGGTTTCAAACGATAAAAGAAAGTCTAGTGGGAATATCCTGATTTGGAGTCAGAGATAAGATTTCGTTCGGATTTTTAACCCCGGAGGGTTAGCCACCCAGGATAACCCAAGAAAGTCAGTGCGTCATCGAGGACTGTCTAACTTATTTCCATTGGGGTCCTTAATCTTGTCCCCCAGGATGCGACCCACACCAGTCGACTAACACCCAGGTACCTATTTGCTGCTAGGTGAACAGGACAATAGGTGTAAGGAAACGTGTCAGAATTTCCACCCGCCGGGAATCGAACCCGGGCCCTCCGTGTGTGAAGCGGGAGTTTTAGCCACCAGACCACCGGGCCACACAGCAATGACGTTCCCATACTAGTGTTTACAACACTGCCTGACCTTCCATTGTCAGATGTTGAAGAAATTCAGGGTTTAGGATCTAACATGGGTGATAGTTTTGGAAGTGAATATGAAGTAAACATTTCAACACCCCAGTAGTTCTCCCAAGAAGAACTCAATGGCCTGAAACGCGACCACAGTCTGTCAAAGCAAGCATTTGAACTTTTAGCATCCAGACTAAAAGAAAAGAACTATCTACAACAAGAAGTTACAAAAACAGTTATCATACAAGAAGTTGAACTCCTTCCTTACTTCAGCCAAAATGAAGAACTTGTACACTCCAATAACATCCCTGGACTTCGAATGAGACTTGAATATCGACCAGGAGATTGGCGGCTGCTCATAGACAGCTCCATTAGAAGCTTGAACTGTCTTATTGCACAACGGTAACCAATAAGCATCTCTTCCAATTGCTCACTCAACAAAACTGTGCTGATGACCAACGCAGAAGAAAATCGTACATCGTTTTCACATGCAGTAATTAGTGGTATCTTAATTATCTTACTATGTTAATCTGTTCTTATATAGAATGAAGTGCTAGTATGTATTACATGATTTGACTTTTGCATAATCTAAAAAGTAATTTCAATGTGATTTGTAAGAAAGCCTCTCCTGATCAATATATTTTTCACATCTTTTATATTTTTCAATGGGATACCAAATTTATAAAAACTTTAACTAATCAAGCCAAACCGATGACATATTTGGAATCAGCACCACAAACTGACCCTAAAATCGGTGTAATATCATTGGCCAGAAAATGAGTGTTGACCGCTGAGCCAATTTATGTATGCACCGGATATGATGACATGACAGCCAGACGGTGCCTCAACCGAAATACCTATAACCCTCAGTCAATTTATCTCTCACCTTCGATACCAAGACAAATGAACTGAAAGAGTAACTATTTTCAAGAAAAACAGTAGCTCGAATGTTAGTAACTACAGACTTAGCATAATCATATCCAAAATGCTAAAGAGCAGTGTATTACTATTAAGGTTTCAGAATGTCGCTTTCTGAAGAGTTATATTCTTGTATAACTTGAAGGCTGTATACGAACTCCAAGTTAGAAAGGAGATTTTACAGGCTTAAACTTCGCACAATAAACCATGATCCATTAAGTAAAAATGGCATCAGTATGAACTCTGTAAACTGGTTCAAGTTTACCTCAACAAGAGGAAACAAACTCTAAAAGTTATAGAATTGAAACCCTTGCCGATAACAAGGTAGTATCTGAGCTTGTTAGTTACATGTCCATTAGTGTTAATGGATACTTCTACTGTATGCAGCTGAGAACACTCTTTGGTATCAGGGAAAGACCCAAAAGATATAGCTCAGGAATTACCACTGAACTGGATGATGGTTATTAGATAAACTATCAGAGGACTGTGACAAAAGAAAAGCTATATTATTTGGTTCAAAATGCAAGTTAAAGTTAATTTTAAAGAAGTGTTGCGCAGAACCTACCTCAAGAACAACATTTGTTGAGCATCTTTCTGGAAAAATCCCTTGATACTCTCACTTCAGTAAATTAATCGTTCAGAACGTAGTAAAGAAAGCAGGAAATACCACGTTCAAGTTCCTCTACAGAGGCACATTGACTACCAGCACGAGACGCCTTGTGTCTGGCTCTTACGCAAGGCCGCATTACTCCTGTTTTTCAGATTACAAATTATACAAAATAAAGTGGGATTCTTCCTGCACTTAGGTTAAAGAGAACATATAAGACAACTGAACTACAGAAACTGGGCATGCTAAAAGCAGCAGATTAACTAAAGCATCTGAAACTAAACAGTGCACACAAAACTACCAACAACCACTGTCCAGAAAACCTTTTAGAAATTTTAGAAACAAAACATTGTACTCTGGGAAGTGTACACAATTCTGTAGTATGCACAGGTGGTGGCCAGGCCTCAAACACTTACTATCAAGCGATAATGAACTGGAATAAGTTACATTACCATGTCTTAGCCAATCTATGCAAGTATCAGCGAAAGAATACTTAAAGAATGAAGCTGCGGAAAGGGAGGAAAATGATTTTTCAACATTTTTAAATCGGATGATCTGGAAATGTAAATTTTCTTGAGTATAAAATATGTTTCACTTGAATCTGTTTACTTCCAAAGCAGACTTAAATAAAATAAAAAATTGCCTTATAATAAAGTTTAGCAACTTAACTAAATGTGACAGCTGCCTTGATCTCATCTTCACCTCTTCTGTCCTTTGATTCTGTGGACGTTGACATATAATTATTTATTGAAATCAAGTTCTCTAAAGATTAAACATTGCATTTGAAAATTTTAATGGGTATTTTAAATACCACGAAGAAATTGTTGATGATATTTTGAGAAATTAATCTGAGTATGAATAAGAGCTATTACTCCGAGACTTCATAACCATGGGTATTTATGTGAAGAGATTTTTCTCAAGGCTTTGGGAAAATTAGAATAATAATTCTTAGACAATCTTACAGCCATCTCTGTCCAAATTCTTCGAAGACAATATTCCTATGCGATTCTTCAAGAATATAAGATAAAAGCATTCGAAGTAACCGCCAGAGTCCATTTAGCCTCAATATCACACTCCAAGATAAAAACATCCAGCAACCTGCATGACTGATGTACTCAAATGGAAGCAGTTGAAGCAATCTTAGATCATTAGAGCATTGATTAAAAGTTGGGTGCGCATGAACCTGTGTCATAGAGAAAACAATCTACTCTAAACCCCTCAGAAGAGACTGAATCGTACCAAGGTTTAAGTTTGACAACCATCCAACTGCGCTAAACTGAGTTTATATCGTGTCATCATCTTCAGGCGCCCGAGACTTCCGGACGCTTATGGTAAAACAAAATACAACCAACACCGTGTTAAATCATGCAAGAAATGAAGTGACTTTTCCTTTCCTTCATTTTTTCCTTGAATTTATTTATATATAAATTAGCCCCTATGTTTAAGATCAAAATAATGCTGAATAGTCTAAATAAAAGTTTTTTTTTTGTTTACTAAAGTAAGAAGAGCGACCAAGCGACCAAAAGACTTACGGTAAGCGATGATGAGGCCTTCATGAGCCGTGGTACCAGAGAGGATGTCCACGGGGTTATACTGACGGTCTCTTAGTAGTAGCGCTGGGTGAGCCGGGAGGAAGTCTCCGTCCACACGTGGTCCCAGTGGAAGGGGCAGAAAGCTCCATTCCTAGTGAGGAAAAACTACAGTTCATTATACCCATTTCTTTAATATCTCCTCCAAATTCAACACCGTGCGTGGGACTAGCAATGCTTGAAGGGATTACCATATTACCCACACTGCCAGATGTAAGCCGAATGTTCATTTCACTAATATTGGTTAATTATAGGTATATATGAGGTTATGTTAACCTAGATTGTAATTACTTTTATTGGATTAAATAAGGCAGAAATAAAACCTGTATTGCATGCAAAATTGCCGTCCTATATTTGAGAGAGACGGCATTATCAATTCAGATACTTTCGAAGACCTTATAGCATTTGGTCATCGAAATATTTGAAGGATCTGAATGTGATTTTAGTATGTTATGCACTGGAACATTCTAAAACCTTTTTACACATTTAACTTTTGGCTTATCTTTCCTATTTTTTCCTTAACTTTTGAGAGCAAGTTCAAGCAGTCATTATTCCTACTTACGAGCGAAGGCGAATGACTGGGAAACTCTCTCCTTAAATCTTGAACTATACTGGTTCACATCTCAACTAACTCCGGGTTGGAAAAGAGTTGATGCTATATGACTGGTTATTTGAGGATGACAAAAAAGTAGGTCTATGGGTTCGAGACAAGGTTAAAAATTTCCTGTGCCCTGATTGGGTTCTGGAGACTCAAATTAGGCCAATCCCATGTGAGGGTAGCAGAACGATTAAAAGTTTATTAATTAAAGGTCATATCTGTGTCCTAGAAAAAAGTGCAAATTTGTTTCATGAAGTAACTTTTTTATTGCCAAGGAGAACATATTTTTATTTTGACTATACGTCTGCGAAAATAAGATATATTAACAATATGTTAGGAAGAACAGGTTAGATAGCTAAGTGAGTTTTGGTGCACTATGGGTACTATGTTTTTCCTGTGAATATATCTATCCATGTGTGATAATACAAAAATAATTTAACAAAATCTGGCTTGTTTGACCAACCTGTTTATAAAGCACAACGTAATCTATAACATTTGTGACAATATTAGTAATTAAGAAGAATATCTCACGAGAAAACAGTGAAGTCAAATGAAAGGATGAATGTGGTTTATAACCGCAGTGGAAGTGTGGAAGTAAGAGTGAGTGTTTTAAGTTCACATTATGGTGAGAAAGGCCGAGAGAGGAATTTCAGTGTCATTAGATAAATCTGGTTACTAAAGCAATAGCTTTAAGCGATAGTTTCCTTTTTTATTTTCTACCAATATAATGCAGTAGTAAAGAATATTCTACTTTTTACAATAGCATTAAGAATCTACAACTTTTACTTTATTTCATATAAATTATGTCAAGTGGAATCAATAAAACAATGAAATCTTTAACAGAATGAGGTCCCACCAGAATTTCAAATTTCTTGCACTGCTACTTTCTTCAAAATTCGGATGAATCTTTTTGCCGTCGTTTGCTTTTTCTGAAGTAATTAAATAACTGAATTCATTATAAAAATTGATTTTATTCACATCTAAGTCATCAGATTTTTGCCTTCATTTCGAAATGCAGTGTATGGGCAGTCATATATGGAACATTTTAATTTCTGGCTAGTGCGAAAGTCATCTTTCTCTGCTGATCTGCTGATATAAGTTTAAATTTTAGCATTTTCTCCAATTTAATTGTAAATACCATAAATGACCCTGATTCATTTATAAAAACAAAAATATTATCTCCCAGGTTAGGAGAATTTTTTCGTGCAAGACACAAATTTAGTGAAATGTTGATCATGAATCCTTTGAATATGTTTTTCTTTTTTCAAGACTGTTCTACGTCACTCAACTCATCGCTCATCTTTAATTTTGCTCTCAGTAAGTCAGTGAATCTGTCCACATTGTCTATATTTTATGCAACATACGACAAAATAAATCGCGCAACTATAACTTTATTTGCTAATAATTCATGCTATCATATTTAAGTAATTTAGTATCCCAATAGCCTAATAAAACCATTCTCAGTTTTTCCTTAAAACGTGAAATATTTTTCATAGTGCCTCCAGTAACTGTTCATTTTTTAAATATAAGTCGTCTGTATCAGTAGAATGTTGATTTTTGGAGAGGATATAAACTGACGCTCGTTCTCTCTCACATTTAAAAAAAAATATTTAAGCTTAAGACAAATTTCTCCTTGTGTTAATATAAATAACAAGGCCACTTAAAGACTTATTATTCATATGAAAAAGCAGTATGAACATTTATCTGATTAGCACACAAGGCATGATGTATAACAATTTTCGAAATACTTTAAACGGAATAAATTTACATTAACATTGTCAAACTTCTGGAATTTTTTTTTACGATATATTCGATAGACACTAAGGCATTTTTTCAAACTTCATAGCAAGATGAGAATCTAAAATCTTCCTTCGTCCTAAGATCTGCCAGTAGCAGTAGTTATTAACCAATATTGATGTAAAATACTTAATACCTCCAACGAGGTATTATGTAAGAGTTGGCATGTCACCCATCTTGGCCATTTGTTATGCACTTCAGTATTCCGCTGTTCAATACAAGTGAATCTAGGAAACTTACAGAAAACCAAAAGAATTTAGTTTTGTTGTTAGATTTCATCATTCAGAAATTACACAAGTAAACTCGTTAGAAAACCATAGATTCTGGAGAACTAATTGAAACTAAAGGTTCAAGCCTATAGGCTGCATAATGTTTACGGGAGGAGCCCCTAATCTTTGTAAATAAATCATGTGCCTAGTAAAAGATAGAAATCACGCAAACAGTACAAAGATATTGAACTTACAAAGAAATCTTGGATAGTTGCTGTCAGCTCATGTGCGTCGAGTGTTTGTAGACAGGCAAGGAGATGTGTGCTTCCATACCTTGTGTCACAGCCCAGGGATCCTCCGACCCGCTCAGCTATCTCTCGGTGACGATTTCCCAAGGCGAATGGTGCCAGGGCTACACCGGACTGAATGATTGCACGACTGAACAGACCTATAGATAAGTATACTGGACAGATCAGAGAATATTTATAAGTATTGATAGCAATATATATATATATATATATATATATATATATATATATATATATATATATATATGTAGGTAGTAGGTTGGTAGACAGCAACCACCCAGGGAAGTACTACCGTCCTGCCAGATGACTGTGAAACAGAAACCTGAAACTGTTTTGCATGATGGTAAGATTGCTGGTTTCTTTTTCTGTCTCATAAACACGCTAGATAACAGGGATATCTTGTTACTCCTACTTACACTTTGGTCACACTTCACAGACACGCACATGCATATATATATATACATACATCTAGGTTTTTCTCTTTTTTTTCTAAATAGCTCTTGTTCTTCTTTATTTCTTCTATTGTCCATGGGAAAGTGGAAAAGAATCTTTCCTCCGTAAGCCATGCGTGTCGTATGAGGCGACTAAAATGCCGGGAGCAATGGGCTAGTAACCCCTTCTCCTGTAAACATTTACTAAAAAAGAGAAGAAGAAAAGCTTTATAAAACTTGGATGCTTGAATGTGCGTGGATGTAGTGCGGATGACAAGAAACAGATGATTGCTGATGTTATGAATGAAAAGAAGTTGGATGTCCTGGCCCTAAGCGAAACAAAGCTGAAGGGGGTAGGGGAGTTTCGGTGGGGGGAATAAATGGGATTAAATCTGGAGTATGTGAGAGAGTTAGAGCAAAGGGAGGGGTAGCAGTAATGTTGAATGATCAGTTATGGAAGGAGAAAAGAGAATATGAATGTGTAAATGCAAGAATTATGTGGATTAAAGTAAAGGTTGGATGCGAGAAGTGGGTCATAATAAGCGTGTATGCACCTGGAGAAGAGAGGAATGCAGAGGAGAGAGAGAGATTTTGGGAGATGTTAAGTGAATGTATAGGAGCCTTTGAACCAAGTGAGAGAGTAATTGTGGTAGGGGACCTAAATGCTAAAGTAAGAGAAACTTTTAGAGAGGGTGTGGTAGGTAAGTTTGGGGTTCCAGGTGTAAATGATAATGGGAGCCCTTTGATTGAACTTTGTATAGAAAGGGGTTTAGTTATAGGTAATACATATTTTAAGAAAAAGAGGATAAATAAATATACAAGATATGATGTAGGGCGAAATGACAGTAGTTTGTTGGATTATGTATTGGTAGATAAAAGACTGTTGAGTAGACTTCAGGATGTACATGTTTATAGGGGGGCCACAGATATATCAGATCACTTTCTAGTTGTAGCTACACTGAGAGTAAAAGGTAGATGGGATACAAGGAGAATAGAAGCATCAGGGAAGAGAGAGGTGAAGGTTTATAAACTAAAAGAGGAGGCAGTTAGGGAAAGATATAAACAGCTTTTGGAGGATAGATGGGCTAATGAGAGCATAGGCAATGGGGTCGAAGAGGTATGGGGTAGGTTTAAAAATGTAGTGTTAGAGTGTTCAGCAGAAGTTTGTGGTTACAGGAAAGTGGGTGCGGGAGGGAAGAGGAGCGATTGGTGGAATGATGATGTAAAGAGAGTAGTAAGGAAGAAAAAGTTAGCATATGAGAAGTTTTTACAAAGTAGAAGTGATGCAAGGAGGGAAGAGTATATGGAGAAAAAGAGAGAGGTTAAGAGAGTGGTGAAGCAATGTAAAAAGAGAGCAAATGAGAGAGTGGGTGAGATGTTATCAACAAATTTTGTTGAAAATAAGAAAAAGTTTTAGTGAGATTAACAAGTTAAGGAAGCTTAGAGAACAAATGGATTTGTCACTTAAAAATAGGAGAGGAGAGTTATTAAATGGAGAGTTAGAGGTATTAGGAAGATGGAGGGAATATTTTGAGGAATTGTTAAATGTTGATGAAGATAGGGAAGCTGTGATTTCGTGTATAGGGCAAGGAGGAATAACATCTTGTAGGAGTGAGGAAGAGCCAGTTGTGAGTGTGGGGGAAGTGCGTGAGGCAGTAGGTAAAATGAAAGGGGGTAAGGCAGCCGGGATTGATGGGATAAAGATAGAAATGTTAAAAGCAGGTGGGGATATAGTTTTCGAGTGGTTGGTGCAATTATTTAATAAATGTATGGAAGAGGGTAAGGTACCTAGGGATTGGCAGAGAGCATGCATAGTTCTTTTGTATAAAGGCAAAGGGGACAAAAGAGAGTGCAAAAATTATAGGGGGATAAGTCTGTTGAGTATACCTGGTAAAGTGTATGGTAGAGTTATTATTGAAAGAATTAAGAGTAAGACGGAGAATAGGATAGCAGATGAACAAGGAGGCTTTAGGAAAGGTAGGGGGGGGTGTGGACCAGGTGTTTACAGTGAAACATATAAGTGAACAGTATTTAGATAAGGCTAAAGAGGTCTTTGTGGCATTTATGGATTTGGAAAAGGCGTATGACAGGGTGGATAGGGGGGCAATGTGGCAGATGTTGCAGGTGTATGGTGTAGGAGGTAGGCTACTGAAAGCAGTGAAGAGTTTTTACGAGGATAGTGAGGCTCAAGTTAGAGTATGTAGGAAAGAGGGAAATTATTTCCCAGTAAAAGTAGGCCTTAGACAAGGATGTGTGATGTCACCGTGGTTGTTTAATATATTTATAGATGGGGTTGTGAGAGAAGTAAATGCTAGGGTCTTGACAAGAGGCGTGGAGTTAAAAGATAAAGAATCACACATAAAGTGGGAGTTGTCACAGTTGCTCTTTGCTGATGACACTGTGCTCTTGGGAGATTCTGAAGAGAAGTTGCAGGGATTGGTGGATGAATTTGGTAGGGTGTGCAAAAGAAGAAAATTAAAAGTGAATACAGGAAAGAGTAAGGTTATGAGGATAACAAAAAGATTAGGTGATGAAAGATTGGATATCAGATTGGAGGGAGAGAGTATGGAGGAGGTGAATGTATTCAGATATTTGGGAGTGGACGTGTCAGCGGATGGGTCTATGAAGGATGAGGTGAATCATAGAATTGATGAAGGGAAAAGGGTGAGTGGTGCACTTAGGAGTCTTTGGAGACAAAGAACTTTGTCCTTGGAGGCAAAGAGGGGAATGTATGAGAGTATAGTTTTACCAACGCTTTTATATGGGTGTGAAGCATGGGTGATGAATGTTGCAGCGAGGAGAAGGCTGGAGGCAGTGGAGATGTCATGTCTGAGGGCAATGTGTGGTGTGAATATAATGCAGAGAATTCGTAGTTTGGAAGTTAGTAGAAGGTGCGGGATTACCAAAACTGTTGTCCAGAGGGCTGAGGAAGGGTTGTTGAGGTGGTTCAGACATGTAGAGAGAATGGAGCGAAACAGAATGACTTGGAGGGAGGGGGTAAAGGAGGTTTTGTGTGCGAAGGGCTTGGACTTCCAGCAGGCGTGCGTGAGCGTGTTTGATAGGAGTGAATGGAGACGAATGGTTTTTAATACTTGACGTGCTGTTGGAGTGTTAGCAAAGTAACATTTATGAAGGGGTTCAGGGAAACCGGCAAGCCGGACTTGAGTCCTGGAGATGGGAAGTACAGTGCCTGCACTCTGAAGGAGGGGTGTTAATGTTGCAGTTTAAAAACTGTAGTGTAAAGCACCCTTCTGGCAAGACAGTGATGGAGTGAATGATGGTGAAAGTTTTTCTTTTTCGGGCCACCCTGCCTTGGTGGGAATCGGCCAGTGTGATAATAAATAATATATATATATATATATATATATATATATATATATATATATATATATAATATATATATATATATATATATATATATATATATATATAAAATGTTGTGCCGAATTCGTAAAACTTGCAATTTTCCCATAAATAGCAACGCTCTTTTTGCCGAATAAGGCAGAAAGAGCGTTGCTATTTTAGGCAAGACAGTTAAACTGCTGGGAGGCAGTTGAAGAGTCTTGGGGCCCTGACACTTAATGTGTTGTCTCTGTGTACTCGTGGCGCCTTACATTTTATTAAGGGAATGTTGCATCTCCTTCCGAGTCTTCTGCTTTCATAGGGAGTGATTTTCGAGTGCAAGTTTGGTACTAATCCCTCTAGGATTTTTCAAGTGTATATTATCATGTATCTCTCTCGCCTGCGCTCCAGGGAATACAGATCAAGGGACTTCAGCCATTCCCAGTAATATAGGTGCCTTATCGTACTTATGTGTGCCGTGAAAATTCTTTGTACACTCTCCAGGTCTGCAATGTCGCCAGCCTTGAAGGGGGCAGTTAGTATACAGCAGTATTGCAGCCTAGAGAGAACAAGCGATTTGAAGAGAATCATCATCGGCTTGGCGTCCCTAGTTTTGAAGGTTTTCATTATCCATCCTAACATTTTCTTAGCAGATGCGGTAGATACAAAATTGTGGTCTCTGAAAGCAATATCCTCTGACATTATCACTACCAGATCCTTCACATTACTTTTTCGCTCCATTGTATGGTTAGAATTTCTTGAATACCCTAATATAGTTTTAGTTTCCTCAAGTTTTCCATATCTGAGTAGTTGAAATTTCTCTTCATTGAACTTCATATTTTTCTGAGTGGCCCATTTGAAGGTTTGGTTGATGTCCGCTTGGAGTCTCGCGGTGTCTTCGATGGAGGTCACTGTCATGGCAATTCGGGTGTCATACACAAAGGATGACATGGAGCTATGGCTTACATATCTGTCCATGTCAGATATGAGGATGAAAAATAGGATGTGAGCGAGTACTGTGCCTTGTGGAACAGAGCTTTGCACCGTAGCTGCCTCGGACTTTACTCTGTTTACTATTACTCTTTGTGTTCTATTTGTCAGGAAGTTATAGATCCATCTACCAACTTTTCCTGTTATTTCTTTATCATGCATTTTGTGCGTTATTACACCGTGGTCACACTTGTCAAAGGTTTTTGTTTATCCTCTATAGCATTCAGGACTTTGTCATAGTGGACCTGTAGTTGTGACAGGCAGGAGCGACCTGCTCTAAACCAATGTTGCCCTGGGTTGTGTAACTGATGCGTATCTGGGATATTAGTGCTATCGGTCGGTAGTTCTTTGCAATTGCTGTACTGTCACATTAGTAAAGTGGGACTGTGTTTGTTGTTTTTAGTGAGTGTGGAATGACCTCTGTGTCCTTGCTCCCTCTCCATAGAATGCTGAAGGCACACGACAGGGGCTTCTTACAGGTCTTGATGAACACGGAGTTAAATGAGCCTGGGTCTGGGGCAGAGTACATGGGCATATCACCTATTGCCTTTTCAAAGTCTTGTGGTGTTAGAATAATATCCAAGATTTTCGAGATGACCAAATTTTGGGTCTCGTTCATAAAGAATTCGTATAAAATGTCGATCCTGAGCCTGGGTAAAGGCTCACTGAACACCGAGTCGTATTGGGACTTTAATCCCTCACTCATTTCTTTGCTGTCATCTGTGTATGTCCCATCTCGCCTAAGCAGGGGCCCATTACTGGATGTTGTTTTTCTCTTAGATTTGGTAAAAGAGAAGAAGTATTTTTTTTTAATTTCCTTTATGGCTTTTAGTTATTCCTGCGATTCTTGTCTCCTGTAACATTTCACTGACCAGTGCCTCCCTTCATTCCCAGTGTATGTTTTTGTTACTGAAGTTGAATTTTGTGAAGACACCCTCATGACTGATCACATTTTGCTGGTCAGGAGCCATGTGCATACATGTCTGTACCTCTATTATTTTGTTATCTGATTGTATTGTCTTTCATACGGTTATATTACGTGTCAGATCGTCGTTGTTAGTGAAGATGAGGTCCAGTGTATTTTCCAGTCTTGTAGGCTCTAATATTTGCTGGTTTAAGGTGAATTTGGTGCAGAGATTTAATAGCTCGTGTGTGTGTGCGAATTTTCATCTGAGCTGCCTCCTGGGGTGATCTCTGTTAAAATATTATTTGCTACATTCTTCCACTTTAGGTGTCTCAAGTTGAAATCTCCCAGTAGCAAGATATCTGGGGCAGCAGTTGGGAGATTTTCCAGACAGTAGTCAATTTTCAAAAGTTGTTCCTGGAATTGCTGGGAAGTTGCATCCGGAGGCTTGTGTACAACCACAATGACTAGGTTTTGGTTTTCAATCTTTACTGCCGAAACTTCAACTACATCATTTGAGGTGTTTAGTAGTTGTGAGCAAATAAGTGACTCTGTGACGTATAAACCAACCTTCCCCCCCTCCTTGTTGCCTGTTTAGCCTGTCGCATCTGAATAGGTTATAACCTGGGATCCATATTTCGTTGTTAAAATGATCCTTTATGTGGGTCTTTGTGAAAGCTGCAAAAATTGCCTTTTGACTCCGTGAACAGTCCCTTGATGAAAGGATTTTTTTCGTTTGTTGACTGCTTTTGACCCTGTATGTTTGCAAAGACAAATGTTATATTGATAGAATTTAAAGGGGTTTTATTTGTTGGCTCTAATATCTGATGTTCTGGAGTGGAGGCCAATGATTATGCCTCTGCTCCAGAAGTGTTTACAGTTTGTGTAAGATTTCTCTCATTTCTTGCTAGTCTTTTCTCGTTCCTGGCACTAAAAAAACTCTGGAGAGGTTATGGCGCCCCTCTTTTGTTTCCCAAAATCTGGCTGGTCTTTATCTTCTTGCCCCCTTTAGATGATGTGCCTAGCAGTATGCGTTGTAGCACTTTTTTTCCTGGAGTGATACATATCAGTGTGAAGTAAATTACAATAAGGGGAGTTGCACCCTCCTGTTGTCTTGTGGGTGCGGCATTTTTGGGATGGTCAAAGGTGCATGTCCCACCTGTTTTACCAGATATACCATGCCTGCAGTTGCCCAAGGGATAAAATTTGCATAGATTGGAAAATTGTTTGCTAGGATTTTTTGTGGCTGCATTCGCTGCTGGTGCATTTTTTCTGTTTCCCCTCTACCTACCGCCCCTGTATGGACATCAGTGTTTCCACCAATTTTTACTGATAATACGTCAACATTATTCTCTGAGTATCCCCTTTTCTTCCATCTCCAGCAGTATCTCTATTTTGTACCTCTATAGATTGAATAGCGTTGTCTTTACCTGTTTCATCACCAGGGCCACTATCTTCTTTTAGTGCACTGTCCTCCAAGACAACACTAGCACCCTCAGGAGCACTGTCGTCCAAGACAGCCCCGTCCAACCCACCCATTTTATTTTTCCCTGGGTCGAAAGAAATATAGCCAAGAAATCGTATACACACCGTTCCTAACAGTGACCTCAACTGTCCTCTAACTGCTGCATCTGACTTGATTTTTGGCTGTCTCCCCCCCCCCCTCTCTCTCCCTTTCACGTGGCGTTATATGATCCAAGATGGACCAAAGCACATTATTTCCTCTCCAATTTGCGTGTTACTTGTGAAGTATTTCAGCCACGTTATTCTGTTTAGAAAATTATATTAATTGCTCAGGAGTCATTCTTAAAATCCTCACGTCTCCTTGCTTGTCTACAACAACACTGTACCTCATCATTCAGCCTCACTAACCTCGTGATTTAGGAGTAAGAATTTGGAAGTGTACCGCGGCCCCTCCAGCGCTCTGACCGATGATGGTAACACAGTTAGGATCTCCACCGAAGTTGTATATATTGTTCTGCACCCAGTGGAGCGCCATTGTCTGATCCTTCAGTCCCAAGTTTCCAGGAATAACAGAGTCCTCCGTTGACAAGAATCCTGGATAATAAAAGAAAACAATTGTCATGTTTAATCATTTGCATATATCGAACTAAACTAAACAAAAAATGGACGTAGATATAAATGTTTGGCTCTTGCTTAATCTAATAATCTCGCCCAAATTTAAGAAAGATGAGTATTTATATTATATATTAGTTAAAAGCTTAAGATAAAGCGGTGTGCATATAGTTTAACCAAAATAACTGAAATGTAACTTAGTTTTATAATGACGTGCATACATTATGAAGTCATATTTTTGTTAAACGTGTATTATATATCAAATTATTGGGGGAGCTAAATATTAGATATTTGTTGCCGTGTTGCCCTGTGTTTGATATGTGATCATTCTTGTAATGTATTAAAATGAACAGGCCCTTGGTTACCCAAGATTTATCCGAGAGTGTGTATTATACTAATACGGAAAATAAAACGAGACTTAAAATTATCTATCCAGTTCTCAATTATCTATCCAGTTCTCAGTCTTACCATGTTGACTTTAACATGTCTATTAGTTTTTTTTAATTACACGCAAACAACAAGTATTTGACAAGAGTTGCTTATTTAGCTACATTTACAAAGAACGTTCATAAAATGTGTTAGAAGTTTAGGTTTTATTAGTGTTGCTCAACAACTAATTTCATTTTATAGGTTCAGATGTGTGTCTACAAATTTTTTGGTGTTGTCTTGTGCTGAGAGGTAAATATTATGCCCATCCAAGATGTCTCCGTTTATGATTTTCTCCGGAATTTTATTTGGCAGGATAGATATGAAGCACATTATAAGATGCGCTTCATACCTCTCCTGTGAGAAGTTGTATAAATATTAAGAGGCACAAAAATAGCTGATTTGTTTAAATTATAAAATATTTGACTCGGTTATTTAGCGAGTTATCACTAACAATTAACATTATTATAAATTTACTATAATAACTTGCCCTTATCGTGACTAATTTATTGTCATATTACAGAAATTATCATTAAAAAGGTAAGTTAACAATTATTCACATTCCTCAAATCATATCCATAATTCGTGTAAGTCACTGGCTGTGTCACAGCAACTTTTGACCAAATGAAAAATATTCTTACCATTTACGTCGAAAAAACTAGGTCAAGCATGAATGGTTGCAATGATAAGTGACAGCGTATCCTGAGATTTCATAAATGTGAAATGTATTTTGCTTTATTACCCGTTTTGTTATTAAATGTATTTAATATTTAAGTTACCTCTGCAGAACTGGTTGGAGACAGGTAGAGTGATCTTTCACAATTGTCAGTGAGGTAATTACAAAACCTGAGCAATGGAGCTTGGGATTCTGCTAGCAAGGTTAGTCGTACGTATAGTTGAGAAGTTAAGCATGTTTAATGTATCAGCAACTTGTGAAGTTCGTTAGGTCTAGATAGTATAATTTCTTTAGTCGTAGTGATTTTGCGTGTGTCCAAAATCTAAAAGTTTTTCAGGTATTCTTATATACCTCCTATATTTTTTTGTTAAATCTGTTACCATAATACAGTTGTGTAGATATTATTATAAACACTGAAAGTATTTTTGCAATTAAATCCATTGCATATTGTCACTGGATCTGAGGATTCTGTTTGATAGCCGTGGGATATTTAGTTTCTGTTGTGACCTGTTTGCTTTTTCAGAGACAATGTTTATTATAAAGACATTGAATTTTATGAAGGTAACTGAAACACGTGAGTATATATCTTAATCAGTACTGAATTCTCTGTGTCAGTAAATGTCATATAATTCCTTGATAAAAATATTTAATGATACTTCAGTATGGAGCCTGAAAGAACTATTACTAGTACCGATTGGTAATTTAGTTATGTTGGTAACTAGGAAGGCTTTGTAATGAGTTGTTAGTGATTTTGCTGGCTTTTAGAGCTATTATGATTGACCAAATGAGGATAGATGAAGAAGTCTTAGTAATTTGCTTAGGTTAACTTACGGAGGGTAATAGTCCAGCTGCTTGCTAGTCTTTTGCTTGAGTTACGCTGAATGAATGACGCACTTACCCAAGATGCCCACTCTGTACTGGAGGACAACCAGTACAATGTCGTGGTTGAGAAGGACGTGTGGCTGGTACTCATGAGTGCCTCCGGCGAAGAAAGCTCCTCCAGGAATATAAACCATTACAGGCAACGGCTGTGGCGACGCTACCTGCGACAAAGTGAACCCAACTTGACCATCAGCATGATGGCTCCACTTACACCTAGTTAAGAGCATTCTAATATACAGTGAATATTATATAGGATTTACTAAATGACTCTTATAGCTGGAAAAATAAAACTCAAACAAACTATTCTGTCTTAGCTGTATATTGAGCTATATGGCTCGGTTGGCAAAGCTCTCACCTCATACACTGAGTGTCCGTGGTTAAATCTCCGGCATGAGTGGAAACCTTGGTCATGTTTCTTTACACATGCTGTCCCTGTTCACCTAGCAGTAAGTAGGTACCTGGATGTTAGTCCACTGGTGTGGGTGGCATCCTAGGGGACAAGATTAAAAGGATCCCAATAGAAATAAGACAGTACTCGATGACGCACTAACTTTTTTTGGGGTTATCCAGAGTGGCTAACCCTCTGGGCTACCGTGATGTTGAATGGTTCTTCAACCAAAGTACTGGAGCTACCCTACCCTTCACTGAATCAAACATGATTACCTCACTGTGCCCATGGTACTGTGTTTAACCCTTCCTAGTTTAGTGTTTCCCTGTGATTGTAATAACACAAGTTATCCACTGTGAGGATTTGCTTATTGCTCCCATCGTAAACACCAGTATTGGTGGGTGTTTACACTGCTCCCAGTGTAACCACCAGTATTGGTGTTTACACTGCTCCCAGTGTAACCACCAGTATTGGTGGGTGTTTACACTGCTCCCAGTGTAACCACCAGTATTGGTGGGTGTTTACACTGCTCCCATCGTAAACACCAGTATTGGTGGGTGTTTACACTGCTCCCAGCGTAAACACCAGTATTGGTGGGTGTTTGCACTGCTCCCAGCTAACACAAGCAAAGTAATTAGTACTAATTAGTAAATTAGTAATTAGTACTAATTACTTATGGTAACTTATTACTTAGGGTGTAAAGACCACCGAAATGCCATTGGTGGAAAGACCACCAGCATACCGTGGGTATGAAGACCACCAGCATACCGTAGATATGAAGACCACCAACATACCGTAGGTGTGAATACGTTGAGGTAAAGACAGTCCTCGGTGCCCACCACCTGCTGTGGTGTTAATCTCATCTCTGCAAAAGCCGTGTGGAACTCCACTTGCAGACAAGGCTGGGGCACCACAGTTGCGTTCCTAAGGCCGTCCCAGGGTTCTGCAGGCAGCGGGTCCTCAACCACAACATATGCTTTGATATTAATTAATTCATGATTTTTTAAAGAATAAGAAAAACTCATTTTCATATACAGAAAATATAAATCTTGATGTATAAAACATGTACCCTCCTTATATATATATATATAATATATATATATATATATATATATATATGTCGTGCCGAATATGTAAAACTGGTCAATTAGCAAGAACTCATTTAAAATAAAGTCCTTTCTAAAATTTTCTCTTATACGTTTAAAGATAGTAGGTAGGTAGTAGGTAGTAGGTTGGCAGACAGCAACCACCCAGGGAAGTACTACCGTCCTGCCAGATGACTGTGAAACAGAAACCTGTAACTGTTTTGCATGATGGTAGGATTGCTGATTTCTTTTTCTGTCTCATAAACACGCTAGATAACAGGGATATCTTGCTACTCCTACTTACACTTTGGTCACACTTCACAGACACGCACATGCATATATATATACATACATCTAGGTTTTTCTCCTTTTTCTAAATAGCTCTTGTTCTTCTTTATTTCTTCTATTGTCCATGGGGAAGTGGAAAAGAATCTTTCCTCCGGAAGCCATGCGTGTCGTATGAGGCGACTAAAATGCCGGGAGCGATGGGCTAGTAACCCCTTCTCCTGTAGTCATTTACTAAAAAAGAGAAGAAGAAAAACTTTATAAAACTGGGATGCTTGAATGTGCGTGGATGTAGTGCGGATGACAAGAAACAGATGATTGCTGATGTTATGAATGAAAAGAAGTTGGATGTCCTGGCCCTAAGTGAAACAAAGCTGAAGGGGATAGGGGAGTTTCGGTGGGGGGAAATAAATGGGATTAAATCTGCAGTATCTGAGAGAGTAAGAGCTAAGGAAGGGGTAGCAGTAATGTTGAAGGATCAGTTATGGAAGGAGAAAAGAGAATATGAAATGTGTAAATTCAAGAATTATGTGGATTAAAGTAAAGGTTGGATGCGAAAAGTGGGTCATAATAAGCGTGTATGCACCTGGAGAAGAGAGGAATGTAGAGGAAAGAGAGAGATTTTGGGAGATGTTAAGTGAATGTATAGGAGCCTTTGAACCAAGTGAGAGAGTAATTGTGGTAGGGGACCTGAATGCTAAAGTAGGAGAAACTTTTAGAGAGGGTGTGGTAGGTAAGTTGGGGTGCCAGGTGTAAATGATAATGGAGCCCTTTGATTGAACTTTGTATAGAAAGGGGTTTAGTTATAGGTAATACATATTTTAGGAAAAAGAGGATAAATAAGTATACAAGATATGATGTAGGGCAAAATGACAGTAGTTTGTTGGATTATGTATTGGTAGATAAAAGACTGTTGAGTAGACTTCAGGATGTACATGTTTATAGAGGGGCCACAGATATATATCAGATCACTTTTAGTTGTAGCTACACTGAGAGTAAAAGGTAGATGGGATACAAGGAGAATAGAAGCAATCAGGGAAGAGAGAGGTGAAGGTTTATAAACTAAAAGAGGAGGCAGTTAGGGTAAGATATAAACAGCTATTGGAGGATAGATGGGCTAATGAGAGCATAGCAATGGGTCGAAGAGGTATGGGTAGGTTTAAAAATGTAGTGTTGGAGTGTTCAGCAGAAGTTTGTGGTTACATGAAGGTGGGTGTGGGGGGGAAGAGGAGCGATTGGTGGAATGATGATGTAAAGAGAGTAGTAAGGGAGAAAAAGTTAGCATATGAGAAGTTTTTACAAAGTAGAAGTGATGCAAGGAGGGAGGAGTATATGGAGAAAAGAGAGATTAAGAGAGTGGTGAAGCAATGTAAAAAGAGAGCAAATGAGAGAGTGGGTGAGATGTTATCAACAAATTTTGTTGAAAATAAGAAAAAGTTTTGGAGTGAGATTAACAAGTTAAGGAAGCCAAAGAGAACAAATGGATTTGCCCAGTTAAAAATAGGAGAGGAGAGTTATTAAATGGAGAGTTAGAGGTATTAGGAAGATGGAGGGAATTTTTTGAGGAATTGTTAAATGTTGATGAAGATAGGAAGCTGTGATTTCGTGTATAGGGCAAGGAGGAATAACATCTTGTAGGAGTGAGGAAAGAGCCAGTTGGAGTGTGGGGGAAGTTCGTGAGGTAGTAGGTAAAATGAAAGGGGGTAAGGCATCCGGGATTGAGGGGATAAAGATAGAAATGTTAAAAAGCAGGTGGGGATATAGTTTTCGAGTGGTTGGTGCAATTATTTAATAAATGTAGGGAAGAGGGTAAGGTACCTAGGGATTGGCAGAGAGCATGCATAGTTCCTTTGTTTTAAAGGCAAAGGGGACAAAAGAAGTGCAAAAATTATAGGGGATAAGTTTGTTGAGTGTACCTGGTAAAGTGTATGTAGAGTTATTATTGAAAGAATTAAGAGTAAGACGGAGAATAGGATAGCAGATGAACAAGGAGGCTTTAGGAAGGGTAGGGGGGTGTGTGGACCAGGGGTTTTCAGTGAAACGCATAAGTGAACAGTACTTAGATAAGGCTAAAGAGGTCTTTGTGGCATTTATGGATTTGGAAAAAGGCGTATGACAGGGTGGATAGGGGGCAATGTGCAGATGTTGCAGGTGTAGGTTTTTAGGAGGTAGGTTACTGAAAGCAGTGAAGAGTTTTTACGAGGATAGTGAGGCTCAAGTTAGAGTATGTAGGAAAGAGGGAAATTATTTCCCAGTAAAAGTAGGCCTTAGACAAGGATGTGTGATGTCACCGTGGTTGTTTAATATATTTATAGATGGGGTTGTAAGAGAAGTAAATGCGAGGGTCTTGGCAAGAGGCGTGGAGTTAAAAGATAAAGAATCACACATAAAGTGGGAGTTGTCACAGTTGCTGTTTGCTGATGACACTGGTCTTTGGAGATTCTGAAGAGAAGTTGCAGAGATTGGTGGATGAATTTGGTAGGGTATGCAAAAGAAGAAAATTAAAAGTGAATACAGGAAAGAGTAAGGTTATGAGGATAACAAAAAGATTAGGTGATGAAAGATTGGATATCAGATTGGAGGGAGAGGGTGTGGAGGAGGTGAATGTATTCAGATATTTTGGAGTGGACGTGTCAGCGGATGGGTCTATGAAGGATGAGGTGAATCATAGAATTGATGAGGGGAAAAGGGTGAGTGGTGCACTTAGGAGTCTGTGGAGACAAAGAACTTTGTCCTTGGAGGCAAAGAGGGGAATGTATAAGAGTATAGTTTTACCAACGCTCTTACATGGGTGTGAAGCATGGGTGATGAATGTTGCAGCGAGGAGAAGGCTGGAGGCAGTGGAGATGTCATGTCTGAGGGCAATGTGTGGTGTGAATATAATGCAGAGAATTCGTAGTTTGGAAGTTAGGAGGTGCGGGATTACCAAAACTGTTGTCCAGAGGGCTGAGGAAGGGTTGTTGAGGTGGTTCGGACATGTGGAGAGAATGGAGCGAAACAGAATAACTTCAAGAGTGTATCAGTCTGTAGTGGAAGGAAGGCGGGGTAGGGGTCGGCCTAGGAAAGGTTGGAGGGAGGGGGTAAAGGAGGTTTTGTGTGCGAGGGGCTTGGACTTCCAGCAGGCATGCGTGAGCGTGTTTGATAGGAGTGAATGGAGACAAATGGTTTTTAATACTTGACGTGCTGTTGGAGTGTGAGCAAAGTAACATTTATGAAGGGGTTCAGAGAAACCGGCAGGCCGGACTTGAGTCCTGGAGATGGGAAGTACAGTGCCTGCACTCTGAAGGAGGGGTGTTAATGTTGTAGTTTAAAAACTTTAGTGTAAAGCACCCTTCTAGCAAGACAGTGATGGAGTGAATGATGGTGAAAGTTTTTCTTTTTCGGGCCACCCTGCCTTGGTGGGAATCGGCCAGTGTGATAATAATAAATATAAATATATATATATAAAATATATATATATATATTATATATATATATATTTTATATATATATTATATTACGCAGATATCGCAAACCAAACGATACACGTTGCAAAAAAAACCACGGGGGGAGTAGAATGATAGCTCTAGGCCTGTCGTGTTGCAATCAACACATCAACAGGAGCTTGCAAAATTGCAGAAAAGAGGAGGATTCATACTTTGTTTCTGAGAGCCTATAGAGTATGCAGTCCGGAGTTCCTAGATGAAAAAAATAGGAAAATATTTGACATTGGCATGAAATTGCGGTATCCTAAGGTTTTCGTGGAATCTGCCTTGCTTGCAGCTAATAAAACTTATTATAGAACAGAACCTAGAATAACACCTCAGACCAAGAATATGCTGGCCCTCCCATTCAACAAGAATTTATCTATCCTGCCGAATGCTCTTAGAAGATTTAATATACAAATAGTATTTAAAAAAATTAGCAGACTGTTAGAAGCATTCTGATAAAGAATTCACCCCAACAATGTGTTGGTGGTGTCTACAGAATTGGCTGCAACAGTTACAGTCTCTCCTATTTGGGACAAACAGGAAAACCATTAGTGGTGAGAATTTCCCAACACTGTTACTCGATACATATAGCACAGGAGTCGAACGCGATATTCAGCCATATTAGAGCTTGTAATAACTCAGCAAATTGGTGGGAAGAAAGAGTCATCTTCCATTGTCCCTCTTGGCTTGAAAGGAATGTTGTAGAATCGGCAATTATTAAGCATAATAAGCATTTATTTATTTATTTATTTATTTATTTATTTAAAAATTTGTGCACACATACAGAGGTACAAAAAATACAGAAAAGAGCAGTATGCCAAAGCCACTTATACTATGCATAGCATTACGGGCTGGCTTAAAATTAACTTAAGATGAACTAAGCAATGATGACATCGGTGATAAAACTTTAATGTAAACAGATTACTATAAAGCACAAGTGAGTATTACAAAGACAGGTCATATGGTTGTATGCATTGTTGTACATTCAGTAGAATGGAGTATTCTGTTAGGTAGTGTATTTAAAAAATAATAAAGTTAGATTGGGTTTTAGGTTTAACATTTATGTGATATAATTGTGAGAAACATTTAAGATATACAATTTATAAGGTTCAGTTATTCAGTATTTATTTGGTTTTGGGTGAGTAAGTGATCTTTGAGAAGAGACTTGAATTTATAAACAGGTAGTGTTTCTTTTATATTTACAGGTAATGAGTTCCAGATTTTAGGGCCTTTTATGTGCATTGAGTTTTTGCATAGTGTGAGATGGACACGAGGAACATCAAAGAGTGATCTGTGCCTTGTGTTATGGTCATGTGTTCTGTTGAGGTTGGCAAGGAGATGTTTGAGGGGAGGGTTAATATCAGAGTTAAGTGTTCTATGTATGTAATAGGTGCAGTAATAAGTATGAATGTTTTGTATGGTGAATAGGTTTAGTGTATTGAATATTGGTGGAGTGTGCTGCCTGTAGTGAGAATTTGTTATCATTCTAACTGCAAGCCTTTTGTTGGGTAATTAGTGGTCTGAGATGGTTACTTGTTGTTGAGCCCCATGCACAAATTCCATAGGTGAGATAGGGGTAAATAAGAGAGTGATATAGGGCCAGGAGGGCTGACTGTGGAGCATAGTACCGTATCTTCGATAGTATGCCTACAGTCTTGGAAATTTTCTTAGAAATTTGTTGTATATGTGTATGAAATTTGAGTCTATTATCAAGGTGGATTCCTAAGAATTTTCCCTCTGTTAGCTTTGTGATAGGTGATCCGTTTATCATTCATTATATATCAGTGATGGGCTGTTCAAATTAGATGCATTTTTAGTTGAAGCAATAGTACACTGTCTAAAACTGGGCTCTTGTACAAATGCATTAGACTTTCTTAAATGTAGAGCCACACCGAGGAATTAGGGCCTACTTTTTCCTGCAGTTTCTTAAGGTTGAACCAGAGTTTGCCTCAGAATTATGTGGGTTGAATAATTGTGGCCGTCTCCCTTGTTATTACAGATGCCTCCCTCTTTAAATAAGTTTATTTTAATATGCCCTGTTTCCTTTACATAACTTTTAGAAGTCTTCCCTTTAAATGTTAACATTTTCTCTTCCTCCTCCCCTTTAAATGAACACGCTGTCCCGGGGTGGCTACCATATAATTGCCAGTGACTTCTATATCACTGATAATATATTTATGTATATAGAGTTACTGATATCACAGCGGGTGTGGCCGATTTTTTTTTATTATTGTCATGTTAATTTCATTTAGGCTATTGCAGTATCAATGCTTGTGGAATTTTTCTTACTCTATAATATTCATCCTTCTGGCTGTGGGCGCTGGTGTGCCTGGGGGCACTTCGGATATCCTTCTCTCTATATATATCTCCCTCCCTCCCTCACTCTAGTGAAGACGTCCATTCGGAACGTACTTGCTTGGACATCCTCCTTTCTGCAGTTTTACAAGCCCCTGATGATGTGTTGATTGCAACACAAAAGGACTAGAGCTATCATTCTACTCCCTCCGTGATTGTTATATATATATATATATATATATATATATATATATATATATATATATACACTGTGTATGTCAGGCCTGTATTGGAGTATGCAGCACAAGTTTGGAACCCACACCTAGTCAAGCATTCATAGAAATTAGAGAACCTTCAAAGGTTTGCAACAAGACTAGTCCCGGAGCTAAGGGGCACATCCTACGAGGAGAGGTTAAGGACAATCGACTTGACGACACCGGAGGACAGGAGAAGTAGGGGGTATATGATAACGTCATATAAAATTCTGAGAAGAATTGATACGGTGGAGAGAGACAGGATGTTCCAGAGATGGGACACAACAACAAGGGGTCACAAATGGAAATTGAAGACTCAGATGAATCATAGGGATGTTAGGAAGTATTTCTTCAGTCACAGAGTTGTCAGAAAGTGGAAGAGTCTGGGAAGTGATGTAATGGAGGCAGGATCCATACTTAGCTGTGACTCGACCCCTTCAACCACAACTAGGTGAGTACATACATACACACAGCATATTTAAAACTTGTTCAAAGGAAATAATTACCCTGAGTCTTAGCTGACCAACAGGAGGCTTGGCGTAGGGTATTCCATAGTAAGACCAGAAACTTCTACCATTGAGTGACTTCTCTGTTATGCCGGCCACCATGCCTTGAGCAGTGGAGACCACCGCAGGGCCATGGCCAGGATATCTGCCGGCTCTGAGGCTCTGACACCCCGCTGTAACCACCACAGCTATCCACACACACACTGCTAAATGCTGCATCCTGTGTACGGAATATCATATTATTAAAATAGTCAAGATTGGAAATACCTGCAGGGGATGCAGTGACTTGTAGGGAAGGGATTCTGCCTGCACTAGTTACGTGTTGGGCACTGCCAGTGTTTTTAGCGTAGGGGAAAAGGCACACAGCCTGCCCTTTCAACAGTGAGGGAGGGGGAGGAGTTACTGTCTGTATTTGCTAGGTTGTGAAGGCATTACCTGATCTTGTTAGCGTGGGATAAGGAAAGATGTTACTCTCTGTTTTTCCTAACATAAGTGCAGAAAATCCATTCGGATGGAATTCACGGGAGATTTTTTTTTGTTGATTGCTGTGGATAGAAAAGAATTATCGACCTCTGGATCAGTGAGATCATATTTCATATAAAGTTGCTGAGTGTGAGCAAACCAGTTCATATGTTCTGGCAAAAAATTGAGAACACTCTCCACGTTCATTTCCTCCTCAATGATATCTGCTCCTTTCTGATCCTGATAAGTTACATCGTCAGGTTCAGCGACGTGAAAACCAGGAAGACACATCAAAAGCCTTGATTACTGATGAGACATTCTCTGCTGCTTTCTTTGCTTGACCTCTTGTAGCATAGCGGCCACCAACTACTCATATGCAGTTTGAAAGAAGTATCTCTCTTAAAATACAGTTCGTTTATAAAGTGAATTGTTGCTCTAAGGAAGGGTATCTTGCAATTAGTCCAAAGAGCTACTATTACATAAACTCAGTTGAGATCTGTGAATTATTCTTTCATTGCACGCTCCATCTTTCATGGTCCTGCTAGATAAAGTCTGTTTCTTATTGTTGACTATACAAGAGACACTAATTTTGATTCTGTTCCTAGATAAAATCCGAGAAATTAGAACTCCCACAATATTCAACGGCAGCTGGTCACATGTAATAGAATGCAAGAGTTTTTGTTAAGGATCTTTATCTCAAGTCATTTCGGCTGAATTTCCTTAACTTCTTTGTCTTTCTCTTTTCAGTGCTTAAGCTTTTCTTTATTACAACGTTTTAGATGCTTGAAGCAACATTCACAGAAAACTTAAGACATGGTTCACCTGATCGCAGTTGATGTTCTTGTTATTGAACCTGTATTTAGTTAAGACACCTTCATAGCTGCGTTCATTTTGCCGGTCAGGACTCCTATGTATGTATGTCTGAATTTCTATTAGATTGTGATCGTAATCTGTTGTTTTTTAATATTATGTTTTACTGGTCAACAATTTTTGAAAAGTTGTATGCTTCTTAAATGAGATTAGTTAATTCTCATATATTTTCATGTCCTGAATCCAAATATCTTCTCGAACAATGTATATTGGCTATAGGTTTAAAGATACGAGACATGTAATATTTGATTATTTTATTATAACGTACAATATGTGTCAGTATGTTTTAAACACTAATACGTACCTACTCTCTGCCTTTTTGCTAGACGCTTATAGTGGGCTGAAGAATCATCTCTTGCCAGTGTCCAGCAATAGTCTGCAAGCATTCTTGTGCCCCATTTGCCCTGGTACCATTTTTCCATGGTTAATACCTTGGTGAAACCTTTCACCATGTTCGTCACTAACTTCCCTACAGTTCGCTGGAATAAAAAGTTTAAATGTGAGTCCAAAAAGTGGATTTTAAGTGACATGTTACATCCCTTCTTCCTCCTCACCACTTTCTTCATCTGACTCGAGGGATACCGAAGTTGGTGCATCAGGAACGGGTAGACCTTCTCCATGTGGAACTGGGCGAATAGCTGTTGGAATGTTTGGATATTCAATGGGCCCCTTTTTATTCTTTGACAAGCCCTTTTGTATTGGAGGCACTATGCAGAAATAACAACTGTTGGTATGATCTGTTGGCTCCCGTCATGTCAATGACACAGCAAAAGGCATTCCTTTCCTCTTCCTGTTCAACCATTGGGGAAGGTTAGTAGCACAATTGTTGCAGCATATGTGTGGAACCCAGTTCTTATCCTGGTCAATAATCTTGCATCCAAAATATAAGTGATATGCCTTTCTAACCATAGGAGTTATACGGTGCTTCTGTGATGCAAAGGTCACTTCACCACAAGTGTAGCAGAAGTTGTCTGCTCTATTCACACAAGTATGAGACATCTGAAAGAAGAAAACAACATTTAGAAGATAACCAGAAAATTTATTCATTAATTTATCATTATAATACAGAGCATACCAGCTAAGCAGAAGTATTTATACCATTCAGTAGGAAAATAAAATTAATATGCCTCACATGCATGTCAAGAGCTTACTCAGTGAATATTTATTACAAGTTTAAAAAGTGTTTGGCTTAGAAAATCACATACCTTTCGCCTCACATCACAACCACCTTCTATGACTGCTGGAACAATAATGAAGGTCAGTGAGACTGTGAGTGTGGTAAGAAACGCACTGCCGCAAGTCTGCTGGAACCTGTTGTGACACGTAGATGTATGTTGAAAAGTAGAGCTAACAAACAATTTTAACCATGATATTCATTACCAGTGTCCTAAAATTAGTTGAAAATTGCTACTCTATTCTCGGAAGCATTTTGGTTGTTGGCCAGTGATTTTTTTATCAGGTTTTCATTATTTGTGAAAATATGGTCAAGTGTGTTTTCCAGTCTTGTTGGCTCCACTATCTGCTGACTTAGGGTGTATTTGTCGCAGAGATTTAGTAGCTCGTGTGTGTGACCTTTCATCTGCTCTGCCTCTACGGATTGTTTCTGCTATAACATTATTTACTACATTCCTCTTTTTTGTATGTCTTAGACTGAAGTCACCAAGCAGTAAGATGTTTGGGGATGGAGCTGGAAGGTTTTCCAGACAGTAATCAATTTTCAGAAGCTGCTCCTTGAACTGTTGGGAAGTTGCATTTAGTGGCTTATACACAACCACGATGATTAGGTTTTGGTTCTTGATCTTTATTGTTAGAACTTCAACTACATCATTTGTGGTGTTCAGCATCTTTGTGCAGATGAGCGATTCTTTGACATACAGGCAACCCCCCCCCCTTTTTTTTTTGCTTGTTCTTTCTGTCGCATCTAAAAAGGTTGTAACAAGTTATCCATATTTCGTAATCAAACTGATCTTTTGTGTGGATCTCTGTGAAGGCTGCAAGCATCGCATTTGACTCCTCTAGAAGTCCACTGATGAAAGGTGTTTTGTTGTTGGTGGATGGCTTAAGGCGACCAAGAAACACATAGGTGTCATTTGATAAACACCCCACATATTTGCACCACGTTCGTACAACCCCCAGGTCCTAGGTATTGGGGGATTACTTTCCACTCTTTCCAGTTTATCAGATCAAAAAGGTCACAACGCGTGTTTTCACACTCAATGATAGACACTCACAATTTTCATTCATAACTTTTCACTCATAACCCACAACATTTCACATTACCAACTCTTTATTCAACAATTTTCACTTCTATATTTTCTTTAAAATTTTCACACTAAACCTTTATTTTCAGTAAAACTTACGTGAAATCCAAATTAATGGCACTAAAACTCTAACATAAATTATTATTATTATAATAATCACGGGGGGGAGGGGGGGCGTTATACTCACAAATCATAACCCACATTAAGACAATTTTTCAGTTATAATACCCACAACTCACAACATATTACCTTCACACATTTTTTCACTCACAACCCACAAGGGCAAACACCCCAACAAACCCTCCAGTCACTTCACTGTTCACAATTTTCACTTATCCATCCACTTACATTGGTTTTTCATTCATAACCCACAAAGACATAACACCCAAAACAGTTTACATACTTCTCTCATTACCTTTTAAGAACCTCCAACAACATACCCCAACAACTCACTACAAGTCACAATTTTCACAATTTTTTCTCGTTTCATGTCCAGTCATTTCCCAGCACCTCACATCCATTACCCCAATCTCCCCTTCACTCTACCCATATCATATCACATTACCACCTCTTTATTAAACAACTTTTCACTTATGATACGTACTCACAACACACTTGTCCAGCCAATGTTCTCTCAGATACAATTCTACTGGATTATGCCACCGCTCTCTACACCAACTCTAGACATCTACTGCTGAAATGAGGTCATTTATATGCCTGGGGAGGCTCGTTCATCACCTCCAGAGACAGAGGATTTGAGGTACATTCGCGACCTGAGACTCGAGACGATGCAAGTTTCAATTTACATTGCTTGGTGAGGTCACAGGACAGACGGCACCAATCGATAAGGTGTGAGGTCACTCTGTGACCTCACCTAACCTAACCACACACACACACACACACACACACACACACACACACACACACAGACCAGATGGGGACACCAGCAAGGAATACACCAACAAGTGTTGGACGACATACATACAGATGAGGAGGTGAAGAAACTGCTAAGGGACATCGATACCTCAAAGGCAATGGGACCGGACAACATCTCTCCGTGGGTCCTTAGAGAGGGAGCAGATATGTTGTGCGTGCCACTTACCACAATCTTCAACACATCCCTGGAAACTGGGCAACTACCTGAGGTATGGAAGACGGCAAATGTAGTTCCCATTTTCAAAAAAGGAGACAGAAAAGAGGCACTAAACTATAGACCTGTGTCATTGACGTGTATAGTATGCAAAATTATGGAGAAGATTATCAGGAGGAGAGTGGTGGAGCACCTGGAACGGAACAGGAGTATAAATGCCAACCAGCACGGATTCATGGAAGGCAAATCCTGTGTCACAAACCTTCTGGAGTTTTATGATAAAATAACAGAAGTAAGACAAGAGAGAGAGGGGTGGGTTGATTGCATCTTCTTGGACTGCAAGAAGGCCTTTGACACAGTTCCTCACAAGAGATTAGTGCAGAAGCTAGAGCATCAGGCGCATATAACAGGAAGGGCACTGCAATGGATCAGAGAATACCTGACAGGGAGGCAACAACGAGTCATGGTACGTAATGATGTATCACAGTGGGCACCTGTGACGAGCGGGGTCCCACAGGGGTCGGTCCTAGGACCAGTGCTATTTTTGGTATATGTGAACGACATGACGGAAGGGTTAGACTCAGAAGTGTCCCTGTTTGCAGATGATGTGAAGTTAATGAGGAGAATTAAATCTGATGAGGACCAGGCAGGACTTCAAAGAGACCTGGACAGACTGGACACCTGGTCCAGCAAATGGCTTCTCGAATTTAATCCTGCCAAATGCAAAGTCATGAAGATAGGGGAAGGGCACAGAAGACAACAGACAGAGTATAGGCTAGGTGGCCAAAGACTGCAAACCTCACTCAAGGAGAAAGATCTTGGGGAGAGTATAACACCGAGCATGTCTCCGGAAGCACACATCAATCAGATAACTGCTGCAGCATATGGGCGCCTGGCAAACCTGAGAACAGCATTCCGATACCTTAGTAAGGAATCATTCAAGACACTGTACACCGTGTATGTCAGGCCCATACTGGAGTATGCAGCACCTGTTTGGAACCCGCACTTGATAAAGCACGTCAAGAAACTAGAGAAAGTGCAAAGGTTTGCGACAAGGTTAGTTCCAGAGC